TATATATATATATATATATATATATATATATATATATATATATATATATATATATATATATATATATATATATATATATATATATATATATATCGTCACATTAAGAACTGAGAGAGATATACCGTCATAAGAGCTGAGAGATGTATAGGCCCCTACGGTCACAAGAGCTGAGAGAGATTACATATACCGGCACAAGAGCTGAGAGAGTGAGAGAAACTTCGATCATTCAGTAGTAAATTTAGCTACTGAAATTTCTCGGGATATCATTTTATTTTACGTAGGGACATATTTCCCCTCGCTGGCAGGTGATAACACAGCGGTTATTGTCACTATAAAGCCAAACTGCACACCATAATACTTAGGTAAACTATACCGTATTGAAGGAGAGTACAATATCTGTCGCATCCACACTGTTGTTGAGGATGTTGGTGGATGGTGTTATTGGCGTCGTGTGTAACAAAAATGGGCTGTGTGTCATTCACGGAAGTCCTCTCATCCAAGCAACACAACAATGGTATCAACCTTGGACTCACTGACTTGAAAATCAATAAGGGGGGGGTCATCCTCTCTGTCTAGTGGGCCATTTCATAGAGCGAAGAGCCTGCAGCAGTGTTCCTCGTATTATCCGTATGAGGTTTTCTGTGTCGTCGAGGTCACTGCAATGAGGGTTGAAGGTCAAGTGTTGAGTAATATCACTACGTTGCCCCCCAACCATCATTGGGTCGTTACTCACATCCTGTTTGGACAAGAATTCCCCGGACTATAGATTATCAACGTCAGGGTCATTTTATCAGGGTCAGGGGTTAGAAGTGTGTCAAGGTTATGGTCACTACTAGGGTCAGAGGTCAGAAGTGCGTCAAGGTCAAGGTCACTTCATCAGGGTCAGAGGTTAGAAGTGCGTCAAGGTCAAGGTCACTTCATCAGGGTCAGAGGTTAGAAGTGCGTCAAGGTCAAGGTCACTTTATCAGGGTCAGAGATTACAAGTGCGTCAAGGTCAAGGTCACTTCATCAGGGTCAGAGGTTAGCAGTGCATCAAGGTCAAGGTCACTTCATCAGGGTCAGAGATTAAAAGTGCGTCAAGGTCAAGGTCACTTCATCAGGGTCAGAGATTAAAAGTGCATCAAGGTCAAGGTCACTTCATCAGGGTCAGAGATTACAAGTGCGTCAAGGTCAAGGTCACTTCATCAGGGTCAGAGATTACAAGTGCGTCAAGGTCAAGGTCACTTCATCAGGGTCAGAGGTTAGAAGTGCATCAAGGTCAAGGTCACTTCATCAGGGTCAGAGATTAAAAGTGCATCAAGGTCAAGGTCACTTCATCAGGGTCAGAAGTCAGAAGTGCGTCAAGGTCAAGGTCACTTTATCAGGGTCAGAGGTTAGAAGTGCGTCAAAGTCAAGGTCACTTTATCAGGGTCAGAGGTTAGAAGTGCGTCAAGGTCAAGGTCACTTTATCAGGGACAGAGGTTAGAAGTGCGTCAAAGTCAAGGTTACTTCATCAGGGTCAGAGATTAAAAGTGTGTCAAAGTCAAGGTCACTTTATCAGGGTCAGAGGTTAGAAGTGCGTCAAAGTCAAGGTCACTTTATCAGGGTCAGAGATTAAAAGTGCGTCAAGGTCAAGGTCACTTTATCAGGGTCAGAGATTAAAAGTGCATCAAGGTCAAGGTCACTTTATCAGGGACAGAGGTTAGAAGTGCGTCAAAGTCAAGGTCACTTCATCAGGGTCAGAAGTCAGAAGTGCGTCAAGGTCAAGGTCACTTTATCAGGGACAGAGGTTAGAAGTGCGTCAAAGTCAAGGTCACTTTATCAGGGTCAGAGGTTAGAAGTGCGTCAAGGTCACTTTATCAGGGACAGAGGTTAGAAGTGCGTCAAAGTCAAGGTTACTTCATCAGGGTCAGAGATTAAAAGTGCGTCAAGGTCAAGGTCACTTTATCAGGATCAGAGGTTAGAAGTGCGTCAAACTCGGAGGATGGAACGTAGACTACGTTGATGAAAGTTTTCAAGTTCCTTGAGGTGCTTCCTGTATGTGACCCATGTCTCGCTGCCATATAGCAGGGTGGGGAGGACCACTGCTCGATATACGTGCAGCAAGACACGGGTACGGAGTCTGCCAAAGGCTTGAGATGCACATCTGATGTGGTGCTGAATCTCTTCATCGGTGTCTGCAGTGGTGGACAGGTGGGAGCCGAGATACCGAAAGTGGGTAACATTAGAGAGGGTAGTACCGTTAAGCTGGATGGATGGTGGAGGTGTGGCTGAACCAGGGACGGGCTGAAAGAGAATCTGAGTCTTACGTACTGTACAATGTACATTCACCTCAAGGCCGAAGTGCGCATATGCATCTTTGTAGGTGTGTAGGATCTCCTGTAGGTCGTGTTCAGTGTGAGCAACAAGGGTGAGGTCGACTGTATACTGAAGTTCAGTAATGGAAACTGCCAACACCTTTGTTCTTGCCTGGAGTCGTCTTATGTTGAAAAGACCCTTCACCCTGTACTCGATGTTCACCCCGCTGGCTAAATTGGCACTTGACACGAGTAAGGAAGGCAGGCAAGAAAATGGAAAAGAGAGTTGGTGCCAGTACACACCCTTGTTTAACCCCTGTTTGGATGGGGAAGAACTCAGACTAGGTGCCGTTGTGCAAGACACTGCTGTTCATGCCATCGTGGAGCTGCCTCACAATGGCGATGAATTTTGGGGGGCAGCCAAAACGGCTGAGGGTCTACCAGAGGGCTTCCCTGTTGACCGAGTCGAAGGCCTTGGTTAGGTTGATGAAAGCCATGTACAGATCACGACGCTGTTCTCTGCACTTTTCTGTATCTGGCGGGCAGCAAAGATCATGTCAGTGGTGCCACGTGATGGCTTAAAACCACATTGAGATTCTGGGAGGAAGTTTTGCGCCTCAGGAAGAAGTCTGTTTAGGAGGACTCGGGCGATAATCTTGCCAACTGCGGACAGCAGCGACATCACACGGTAGTTGCCACAGTCTGACCGGTTTCCCTTGTTCTTATAAATATTGACAATGGAAGCGTCTTTAAGAGCTCGGGGGGATTTCCTCCTTTTCCCATATATTCTCCAGGAGAGAGTGGAGATGGCTGGTAAGCAGAGGTCCTAATACTTTATACACCTCAGCTGGGATTCCATCAGGCCCTGAGGCTTTGTTATTTTTCATCTGTTTGATGGCAGTAACTAGCTCATCCAGGAATGGAGGATAGCTGAGGTGGGTCAGCTCTGGATGCTGAGGGACCTGCTGGGAAGTCAGGACATCCACATCGGTGTTTCGGTTGAGCAATGAATGGTAGTGCTCTTTCCAGCGCTGAAGAAGGCCTTCGTCGTCTTTAATTATGAAGTTACCGTCAGATGAGCGGAGGGGGCTGCGCCACGAGTGACTGGCCCATAAAGTGTTTAATGGAGTTTGAAAAATTCGCGCATCATGTGCTGATTTGCATGTTTTTGTATTTCACATGCTTTATTTTTAAGCCAGTCATTCTTTAGAATGCGAAGTCCCCGCTGGGGTGCCGCTTTCTTCTTGCGGAAGGTATCAGCTTTGGTCCGAGACTGAGGTGTTGTCCTGCCAGTCAGTAAAAGCAGCACTTTGATTGCCGGGCCATTTTCATCAAACTAGTCCTGGTGTATTCTTTTGATCTGGCCGAGGGTCTCTGCAGATTTTTGTCATAACAGTGTTGAGAGTATCCCATTCGGCACTGGAATTCGCGTTGGCTGCTGTTGGGTTGTTTATAAGCCCATGTTCGAGCTGCTCTCTGAAAGCATGTGCTACAGCTGGGTCCTCCAGACGCTTAGTATTGAAAACTCTTCTGGAGGTTTGCTGCCTTCGCCGTTTTGGGGCGACGTGAAGTGAGAGCTTGGCTCTGATAAGTTGATGATCAGTGTCACAGTGGTCTGAGCCACGCATGGCACGGGTGATGAGGACATATCGGCGATCTCTTTCTCTGACAATGGTGTAGTCAATGAGATGCCAGTGTTTGGATCGTGGGTGTTGCCACGAACCCTTGAGCTTGTCGGCCAGTCTATAACAAGGTATTGGTGATAGTGAGGCTGTGCGCAGCACACTTGCTGAGGAGGAGTAGGTCGTTGGCATTACACTTACCTCGTCCATTTCACCCAATGGTTCCCTGCCAAATGCTAGCATCTCTGTTAACTCTGGCATTGAAGTCGCCAAGGAGCACAACCTTGTCTTCTCTGGGGATAGAGGTTAGCACCCTGTCAAGGTAGGCGTAAAAGGTCTCCTTGATTTCATCCTCTGCATCCAGTGTTGGGGCGTATGCACTGATGAAAAAGGCATGACTTGAGTGATTCAGTGGGACTTGAAGCGCCATGAGGCGCTCGTTGATCCCAATAGGCATTTCAGTTAGCCTGTGTAGGATGCCTTGGCGGATGGCAAGGCCAACTCTATAAATGCGGTTTCTCCCCGCAGCAGACTTACCCTTCCAGAAGAAGGTATAGCCAGACCCCCGTTCTGTAAACTGGGCCTCATCTGGGAGCCGGGACTCACTGATAGCTGCTATGTCGACGTTATCCCTAGCCAGCTCTTTTGCCACAAGACCAGTTCTTCTTTCAGGACACTCATTTGTGCCAGTATCCAGAAGGGTCCTGACATTCCATGCAGCGACCATAAGAGGTTGTATGGTTTGTTTTTGTTTGGATCTGTGATTTATACTGTGTTTTCGATCGCATATGGATGACCTTACTGGGTGCGGTTGCCCAGTCAGGTTGGGTTTTTAAGCAGGCTATGTTTAGGGCACCTTTTCTAGCCCCCTCCCCATGTGGGGTGAGCACAGTGGCTCCTCGTAAGGGCTGCTCAGTCGCACAGACAGGACCGGATTGCACTGCTGCCTAGATCTCAGTGCATAAACGACCATCTGTGTCTCCCATGTACAGAGTTGTGACTAGAGACTCCCGGCAGTCATCTCTGCCTGTCCACGTCGCCACTCATCCGTTGCCATAGAACTTTTGGGGGTATAGGGGTTTTGATGATGATGAGAGGTATCATGAACAGGATGATGGCTGACCGTGAGTTGATTTATGTGGTGAAGCAGGCGCGCAGGCTACAACCACACATCTTGGCTCTCCCTTCTCCTGGTCCAGTGGTACAAGTGTTGCAACGACTTGGGACAGGGAGAGTTGTAAGGGACTGCCGATAGCCCAGTTTGTTGGGTTTCGCCTTATTAGCCTGTCCATCAGGCATTGCCTTCGAGCACTGGTGCAGTCGGTGGGTTTCCACGGTGGTCACCTCTTCCGCCTACACCACCGTTGGGGTCTTGTTGGAGCTCTATAAGCATGTTTGCCTGATGCAGTGCTCCACCACAGATATTTTGTTCGGGGTTTACTCCCGTAGCCCTATACATGCCAAGGTTAATCCGCAAGGCAGCGGGGCAATGGCTGGTAGGCGCCAGAACGTGTCCATATGCCAGTGGTCCTAGGCGCCATCCCTCTGGGGACCACTGCTACTCCAAGAACCCCTGCTGGTCTAGCCTGGGCCCACGAGGCACCCAGTTACGGTGTGTTGCCACGAGGAGGCACAGCAGGAGTCTTGATGGTGAAGAGGCTGTGTACTGGCAGGGGAACACTTATGCATGTTGCTTCCCTGTTCGCCACGAGGGCTAGCCAGCGGCCGCAGGTGAAAGCGAGAAGGAGCAATCAGTGTTTGTACCTTAACACTAAAATAGTGCTGCCACACTAGACGCATTACACCACCCTGGGTGCACACACACACACACACACACACACACACACACACAAGTGTTCCAAAACAATTATTGTAGCACTTTGTAATCCCCCCCCCCTTCTCATATGACCCCGTAACTCTCACAGCTAAATGAGGACCATAATTACCTAAAGAGTCTAGACTACTCGTCAAGGAAGTACTGTAAGTATAGCATTGTCACTAAAGTTGTGGGTTCTTGTGGCTTGTCACTTTCTTTATGTTGTGAGGAACATGTCATTACTGCACTGGCTGGTGAAACATGTTTTGTCTGAATCACGTGAAGTTAAGACACCCTAATTTACTTTACTATAAGATTATACACGTTAATACGGGTGGGTTAGTTAGTTTTAGGTTAAGGTTAAGTTTGGATTAGTGTTAGTTTAGCTTTGGTTAAGGTTAGGATATTGTTAGGTAAGGTTAGCGTTATATTAATGTTATGTTAGGGTTAGTAGTATGTTAGGATTAAGTTAGTGTTAGGTTAGTGTAAGTTAGGCTAGGTGAGTTTTTGGGTGGTTTATCAGAAGCTTAAATAAACTAGAGTGTCTAATCTTTACAGGATCCATTTTTCTTATCATCGGAATTAGAGGCTCTTCACTGTTTACTTTCCAGAGTCTATATTCTCAAAGGTTCTCAACTTGAATTTAACTCGTAACAGGACATCGAGTGCATTAAAGTACACTGAGACTACATCTTAGCACCATTCAAGGGCCAAAAATAACACCCACGTCCGTATCATTAAACATCTAGTTAATTTTGCCGCCATACCACCCGGTTAGGTATTGTACTGCGGTGTCCCTCAGCACTCATTTAGTTTAAACTCGGGTTGAAACACGACAACCCTCTTCCAGGGTAGATGTTTAATAATACGGACGTCATAATCTTTGTAACTCCTCGGCCACGACTCCATAAAGACTGGTGTTCACGGGAGAGTTTTTATATGTACATCCTCGAGGAGAGATTATCAAGTGTGTGTGTGTGTGTGGTCAAGTGGGACATTGACCTGGGAATCTTACACGTTAAAAAAAACAAAAACATTGGTCAACATTGTATATTGTTTTTAATAACGAAGACGGGTACCAGCACGAGGACGGGGACCAGCACGAGGACGAGGAGCAGCACGAGGACAAGGACCAGCACGAGGACGGGGACCAGCACGAGGACGGGGACCAGCACGAGGACGAGGAGCAGCACGAGGACAAGGACCAGCACGAGGACGGGGACCAGCACGAGGACGGGGACCAGCACGAGGACGAGGACCAGCACGAGGACAAGGAGCAGCACGGGGACGAGGACCAGCACGAGGACGGCGACCAGCACGAGGACGAGGAGCAGCACGAGGACGAGGACCAGCACGAGGACGACGACCAGCACGAGGACAAGGAGCAGCACGGGACGAGGACCAGCACGAGGACGAGGACCAGCACGAGGACGAGGACCAGCACGAGGACAAGGAGCAGCACGGGGACGAGGACCAGCACGAGGACGGCGACCAGCAGGAGGACGAGGAGCAGCACGAGGACGAGGAGCAGCACGAGGACACGGACCAGCACGAGGACGAGGAGCAGCACGGGGACGAGGAGCAGCACGAGGACGAGGAGCAGCACGGGGACGAGGAGCAGCACGGGGACGAGGAGCAGCACGGGACGAGGAGCAGCACGAGGACGAGGAGCAGCACGAGGACGAGGAGCAGCACGAGGACGAGGATCAGCACGAGGACGAGGACCAGCACGAGGATCAGACCAGCACGAGGATGAGGACCAGCACGAGGACGACGACCAGCACGAGGACGAGGAGCAGCACGAGGACGAGGAGCAGCACGAGGACGAGGACCAGCACGAGGACGAGGACCAGCACGAGGATGAGGACCAGCACGAGGATGAGGACCAGCACGAGGACGACGACCAGCACGAGGACGACGGGACCAGCACGAGGACGAGGACCAGCACGAGGACGAGGAGCAGCACGAGGACGAGGACCAGCACGAGGACGAGGACCAGCACGAGGACGAGGAGCAGCACGAGGACGAGGACCAGCACGAGGACAAAGACCAGCACGAAGACGACAACCAGCACGAGGACGACGACCAGCACGAGGACGACAACCAGCACGAGGACGCATTCTCTTTAATCTTTAACTGTTAATCACTTGTGTAATTATTAATCTACAATACGTACTTGAAGACCTCAGTTAATGTTGAAGGTCAGTAACACATCATAACATCAACACGACATCTCTGGAGTAAATGGTTTGGACAAGAGTGTGGTGGAAGCAACGCTCAATTGAACTGTTTGATTACACAGTAGTCTTGCCACGTCTGCCTCTTATTGCACACCTTATGTTCAGTATGTAACACTCTCTTTCTTCCTTTCTTTCCTCCTTCCCTCTCTTCCTCTTCTTAACTCCCTCCTCTTCCTCTCTCTCTTCACTCCCTGCCTCCTTTCCTCCCTTCCTCTCTCTCTCTCTTCCTTACTCATTCCCTCTCTCTTCCTCACTCCTTCTCTCTTCCTCACTCCTTCCCTTCCTTCCTCCCTTTGTCTCTTCCTCCTTCTGCTTCCCCCCTCTCTCTCCCTCTTCTTCACTCCCGCCCCTTCTCCTGGGTTCATTGTCTGCGAGTATTGCGGTTCATGCCAAGTGGTTTGAGTTCCTCTGCGGCAGTGGCTTCACCTCGACTTGGAACCGACACTTGTGAACGTAATTTAATTCTGGCTTAAGAGTGTTAGACCATTGTGACATATGTTAAATACTGGTCTATATACACTCTAAGAGTTAACTCCATTGTGAGATACGTAATGTGTCCCTTTAGACTTTTACGAAACGTCAAGCTTGTGTGTGACTCAGATCTTGAATTTCAGACGCTATCGTTCCAGCCTAGTACAGTACCTCTTTTCTCTGCCGACATAGAACGCTTTTCTTTGCATTGTATTTTACTGTAATTTCGTACGTAGTGGCACCATATTTTAACAAATGCACAAATAAATTTTCATTCTTAATTAATAGGTTAAGTAATATTAATTTACTTTTGATTTTCAGTAATAATACTGTAGGCACATTTATAATGTTTTTGTACTGTATTGACAAGACTGTTTTGTAGACCAAATTAATTTGTATTTTTTTCGATTATGTTATACCAAACCTGATCATGCACTGGTGTTATATAATTAGTTAATTATATTTAATTTAACAGTAATTGCTTAGTTATTTGATCTATTAAAAATGCAAAGTTTATCATATAGTTTATGGCTTCAACATTCCCATTAGTTTTCGCAAACATATTAATGAATTTTTTTCAGTTTTTTGAGTTAATCCATCTAATTAATCAAAAGCCGAACTTAATCACATGCGATATAATTTTAATTAGTATTTTTATTGCTCAAATCGTTTTTTCATCAAGAATTTCCTCTGGTGTTTTCCAGGTTATGAAATATTAGAACTTTTAGGTAATATTATTTTGTAATTGTTGAATATTGGGGAAGGTAGCAAGTGCAGATAATGTCGCAACACTGCAGAAAGACCTGATTTAGCTGATCAAATGTTCTTAAACATTACGAACTACGAGACCCGACACGAACACGAAAGATACAACAACCATAACCACAACTATTCTGTTAATAACACTTTCCTGGTTACTGTCGATACGGAGAATGGTCTTGCGTTGTGATAGATCATTCACTGAAGGCGACGCAACAAGTGAGAAAAGCAAACCGAGATTTGGGAATTATAAAGCGTACAGTTAGCGCCACTCCTGCGTTTACCACTTAGCGTTGCTAACTCTCTCTCTCCTTGAGGGATCCTACACAGGCTACTGGCCTCCTTCCCTGGGCATGGCAGCCTCTAGTGGGTGGTCATTAGGCAAATAAAGTAAATAAGGTCAGGTCAAATAAAAATTCCCTGAAACCTAAGTAAAGGTGTTGGCGCTCTCAAAGGCATAGTGAAATTATTATGACTCTTAAAGGTAGAAAGTTACCATGACTCAAAGGCAGTAAAGTTGTAAGGTACAGTACTGTAATCTGGCGACACACCGACCTTGGAATAACATTATTGTTTGGCAATGAGTAGCGGTGAATAAGGAGTTAAGACCTGGCGATAATCACTTTGGTCACGCAGCTACGAAACACTCGAGTCAATCTTGAGTTTGATCACGTGAATATTAAACACTTTAACTTATTTCACTTGAAGATCTACTAACCTAACCTAACTTACCCAAACCGAACCTAACCTCTGAAAATCTGACCTGACTTTAAACCTAACCTAACCTAACCCGCCATGTAGCGCTATGGTGGTTAATCTTCGAGTGAAATCAGTTGGGGTGTGAAGTCTTCAGGTGATTCAGTGATTCACATAATTATTTAGGGTTCATTCGATGGTTATAACAACCCTTGATATCATTTTACACGGTTCATTTTCCGTAGTAGTATACTGTACTGTACACGGTTTGATGAATTGTTTTATGAATATGTGTAGGTGACTTTAATTATGGAATAGATATTGTATTCACTGTTGAAATCATTATCGCAGTACTATTCAGGAGCACTTCACGTGGGGTTTTATACCGTACTTGTAAAAACATTTCACACACACACACACACAGACACACACACACACACACACACACACACACACACACACACACACACACACACGTCTATAGCTGTCGCCTTCATTGATTTCACTAAAGCGTTCGACCTAGTCGACCACAATATAATCATCAACAAAGCTATTGACCTCGGCTTCGGAGAAGTCTTATACCATGGCTTACAGACTTCCTCAGTGACCGACGCCAAGCTGTACGCCTGAGGGCTGTCTCCACCTTCAGTCACTCACCTGTGGCGTCCCCCAAGGCACAAAATGGGACCACTTGCTTCCTTATGCTCATCAATGATGCCCTAAGAGAAACCCCTGCTCGCTGGAAATATGTCGACGACTCCACCATTGGGATCAGCGTCAACAATTCTGCTCCCAACTATACCGCCCTTCAGGATTTATTGAACAGTCTCCAAAACTGGCCACCAACAACCATGTCACATCAACCATACCAAGACCATGGTTATGCACATCAACCTCTCCTCCGACATTGTCCCACCTCCTTCCATTACTCTAGGTCCGAACACACTCCAGGTTGTAGATTCCACGAAGCTCCTCGGCGTCACCATAGACAACAAGCTAAATTGAAAACCACACGTCAGTGAAGTTGTCAAATCCTCCAGTTTGCTCCACCTCCTCCGCCGACTCAAGTCCCTCGGAGTTCCTGCACACGAGCTCCTCAGTTTACACAACATTCATACTCTCCCAAGCTCACCAATGCCTCCCCTACCTGGTCTTCCTTCCTAAATGCCACACAACGTAAACACCTAGAAAAAATGCGTGCAAGTTTATTCTCTCCCCTTCCTACTCCACATAGCAGGAAGCGCTCAACACACGGACCCTCTCGGCTCTCTCTGACCATCACCACGACCTCATCTGCAAATTTGATGAGAAGCTTCTGCACCATCCTCGACACCGGCTCCTACTACCACCCAAGGTCCCTCGTCCGCGAATTGCGGTTCGACACCACAACCGCATCCAGCCCATACGTGCACGAACTGATCGCTATAAGAACAGCCCCAGTCCCAACCATTGTAAAAATTATCAATAACTTGTAATAAACCAGTGTATTCACTCCCAGTAAACACTACTCCTTGCACTGTCACTATGTTAAAATGAACTGTAGTTTGAGCTTTTCCCCATCTAGTTATTATATGTCTTATTTGTGTCACTTATGTTACTTGTATATTATTTGTAATTCGAAACCCATTCCCCAAATATGTAACTGTATATTTTCAGCCTTCTGGTTGCCAAGGTCTTTCAATAAACCGTTAATTATTATTATTATTATTATTATTACACACACACACACACACACACACACACACACTGGTGAACATCTGCTCCTGTTACTAAAATTTAACTATTTTTTATCTTAGGCCACAAAGAAGTAATCTAATATAAAACAAAACTAATGTCAGGATTTAACATTAATTGTTATATCAGCTTTGCAAAAACGCATTCAAGAACATTTGCTGAATTTTCCATCGTTTATTCTGTTTGTCAAAATGAATTTGATATACGTGTAAATATTAATTAGCTATACGGGATTATATAGCAGTTGAATTAAAGACCAAGCACTTGTTAAAATTTACCTCCCAGGCCCCAACTTCTTCTAATGTCCGCTAATGGTGACAGAGAATATGTTCACCCAACACAGCGTAGTGATGTATTATTTACCCGGTGAACCATCCATATGCGTGCGTCTACGTGTGGCTCCTCGTGTACAGGAGGGTCAGTGATAGAGAAAAAAAAATAAAATGCCATGTTGGTGTTGTGTACTTAAGTCATTTGGGTGATGTCAGCGGTGGACGAGAGGGAGGAAGCCCACTATTATGTACTTTGTGTAGTGTGAGTGACGACATAGAAGGTTGCTGTAGTGGGAATTAATGACCTTGAGGGATACCTGAATGAGTAAGTAGAGTAATCAAGGTTAGAACAAGGTATTTTGTGTGAAAGGTTGGGTAGTGGAGGGACATGAAAAGTATATGGACACGGTAGGTGGGGGACGGTGGCCTCACGTCAGCAGGAAGCCCCTGGTGCCGTGTGTATGGGGGAGGGAGGGGGAGGCACGCGCGATACAATGAAGATTATTGATGGGTTTGGAGCAGAGAATCTATTGTGTAGAGTGAAGAAGAGTGCGGTAAGGTGGTGTGGCCACAATGAAGAGCCCTCCTACGCCACAGTATAATAATATAGAGCAGGGTGTGAGCCTCGTACGACCACCAACAAAAGCGAACCTCTCTCAAGAAGGATGTTCACTAATGTATTGATCACAAACTGTGTATCTAAGAGGGGGCGGGGAACAAAATAAGCAGGGTAAATAAAAAGGACGATACACACACACACACACACACACACACACACACACACACACACACACACACAATACACAAGATATTAAATAAGACTAATAATTTTAAATAATGTCTTCATGTTTGTGTCAGTGTTGTGATGTACATATTATTAATAATCTTCGCATATTTTAGATTTGTAAATACACTAGGCATCAACATCTTTGTTTTTTCCACTCGAACATTTTAGTCACAATAAGGGATCGACCATAATCTTTAACGCTAACAAACTCCCATAAGTCATAGCGTTTTCTCATTGGGGATTTTATCATATTACCAAAGTTGTCAGTGAGGGAATTATCAGTTCAACTCATAATAGTTCTTGGTAAGTTTTGGTGTTGAGAAATAGTTGAGAAATACACGGAAATAGTTGAGAAATACACGGAATTAGTTGAGAAATACACGGCAAGAGGAGTATCGATTGTGTGACTTGACATTGAAAGATGATAATTGCTCTCTCTTGCAAGACTGTGGCAGTTTGTTGTCTGCTTTGAGGTATTTTGTAGTTTTATTTCATGTACAGTATTAAAAGTAAACCGTGATCCTATACGTGTCTAGAGCTGGATTACTGTACACCTTGACCCTAATATACGTGTCTAGAGCTGGATTACTGTACACCTTGACCCTAATATACGTGTCTAGAGCTGGATTACTGTACACCATGATCCTATACGTGTCTAGAGCTGGATTACTGTACACCTTGATCCTATACGTGTCTAGAGCTGGATTACTGTACACCTTGATCCTATACGTGTCTAGAGCTGGATTACTGTACACCTTGATCCTATACGTGTCTACAGCTGGATTACTGTACACCTTGATCCTATACGTGTCTAGAGCTGGATTACTGTACACCTTGATCCTATATGTGTCTAGAGCTGGATTACTGTACACCATGATCCTATATGTGTCTAGAACTGGATTACTGTACACCTTGATCCTATACGTGTCTAGAGCTGGATTACTGTACACCTTGATCCTATACGTGTCTAGAGCTGGATTACTGTACACCTTGATCCTATACGTGTCTAGAGCTGGATTACTGTACACCATGATCCTATACGTGTCTAGAGCTGGATTACTGTACACCTTGATCCTATACGTGTCTAGAGCTGGATTACTGTACACCTTGATCCTATACGTGTCTAGAGCTGGATTACTGTACACCTTGATCCTATACGTGTCTAGAGCTGGATTACTGTACACCATGGTCCTATACGTGTCTAGAGCTGGATTACGTGTACACCATGATCCTATACGTGTCTAGAGCTGGATTACTGTACACCATGATCCTATACGTGTCTAGAGCTGGATTACTGTACACCATGATCCTATACGTGTCTAGAACTGGATTACTGTACACCTTGATCCTATACGTGTCTAGAGCTGGATTACTGTACACCATGATCCTATACGTGTCTAGAGCTGGATTACTGTACACCATGATCCTATACGTGTCTAGAGCTGGATTACTGTACACCATGATCCTATACGTGTCTAGAGCTGGATTACTGTACACCTTGAACCTATACGTGTCTAGAGCTGGATTACTGTACACCTTGATCCTATACGTGTCTAGAGCTGGATTACTGTACACCTTGATCCTATACGTGTCTAGAGCTGATTACTGTACACCTTGATCCTATACGCACTAGGAGCTGGATTACTGTACACCATGATCCTATACGTGTCTAGAGCTGGATTACTGTGCACCTTGATCCTATACGTGTCTAGAGCTGGATTACTGTACACCATGATCCTATACGTGTCTAGAGCTGGATTACTGTACACCTTGGATCCTAATATACGTGTCTAGAGCTGATTACTGTACACCTTGGATCCTATATACGTGCTCCATAGGAGCTGATTACTGTAATCTTGATCCTATACGTGTCTATAGAGCTGATTACTGTACACCTTGAACCTATACGTGTCTAGAGCTGATTACTGTACACCATGATCCTATACGTGTCTAGAGCTGGATTACTGTACACCTTGAAATCTATAATGTCTAGAGCTGGATTACTGTACACCATGATCCTATATATGTGTCTAGAGCTGGATTACTGCACCATGATCCTATATGTGTCTAGAGCTGATTACTGTACACCATGATCCTATACGTGTCTAGAGCTGGATTACTGTACACCTTGATCCTATACGTGTCTAGAGCTGGATTACTGTACACCATGATTCTATACGTGTCTAGAGCTGGATTACTGTACACCATGATCCTATACGTGTCTAGAGCTGGATTACTGTACACCATGATCCTATACGTGTCTAGAGCTGGATTACTGTACACCTTGATCCTATACGTGTCTAGAGCTGGATTACTGTACACCATGATTCTATACGTGTCTAGAGCTGGATTACTGTACACCTTGATCCTAATATACGTGTCTAGAGCTGGATTACTGTACACTTTGATGTCTGGGAATGGCGAGAGACCTGAGGGGCTGTTACCTCTCATCTTCCGGGAGTGTCAACAAACACAACTAATGACTCGTAGCCCCCCCCCAGGACCAGAGCCCCTAGCAGGGACTAATTAATTTGCAAGACACATATACAGTGAAACCTCCATATAACGGACATCTCTCTCAAAGTTATCCTTTAATTGAGGGTTTCACTTCTAACAGTCCCTCGATATAACGGACTTTCATCTCTATAGTTCCCTAGATGAGGGTTTCATTTCTAACAGACCCTCGATATAACGCACTTTCACCTCTATAGTTCCCTAGATGAGGGTTTCACTTCCAACAGACCCTCGATATAACGGACTTTCATCTCCATGTATTCCGTTAAATCGAGATTACACTATATATATATATGTTTTCGATCACCTGAAGATTAGTCCCCCCAGCTTGTTTCACCTGTTGATTTTAATCACTGACGCAACCTATGGGGATTAGGGTAGGTTAGGTTATGGTGGTTAAGGTTAATGTTAGGGTGGCTAAGGTTAGTGTTAGGGTGGTTAAGGTTAATGTTTGGGTGGCTAAGGTTAATGTTAGGGTGGTTAAGGTTAGCATTAGGGTGGTTAAGGTTAGTGTGGGTGGTTAAGGTTAGCGTTAGGGTGGTTGAGGTTAGTGTTAGGGTGGTTAAGGTTAGCATTAGGGTGGTTAAGGTTAATGTTAGGGTGGTTAAGGTTAGTGTTAGGGTGGCTGAGGTTAGTGTTAGTGTTAGGGTGGTTAAGGTTAGCGTTAGGGTGGTTAAGGATAGTGTTAGGGTGGGTAAGGTTAGTGTTAGGGTGGTTACGTTAATGTTAGGGTGGTTAAGGTTAATGTTAGGGTGGCTAAGGTTAGTGTTAGGGTGGCTATGGTTAGTGTTAGGGTGGTTAATGTTAATGTTAGGGTGGTCAAGGTTGGCATTATTGGTGGTTAAAGTTAGCATTAGTGTGGTCAAGGTTAGCATTAGGTTGGTCAATTTTAGCATTAGAGCGGTCAAGGTAAGTATTTGTGGTGGTCAAGATTAGCATTATTGGTGGTTAAAGGGTGTTAGGGTGGTCAAGGTTAGCATTAGTGTGGTCAAGGTAAGTATTAGTGGTGGTCAAGGGAAGTATTAGTGGTGGTCAAGGTTACCATTATTGGTGGTTAAAGTTTGCATTAGTGGTGGTCATGGTTAGCATTAGTGTGGTCAAGATAAGTATTAGTGGTGGTTAAGGTTATCATTAATGGTGGTTAAAGAGTGTTAGGGTGGTCAAGGTTAGCATTAGTGTGGTCAAGGTAAGTATTAGTGGTGGTCAAGGTTAGCATTATTGGTGGTTAAAGTTATTATTAGTGGTGGTCAAGGTTAACATTGGTGGTGGTCAATGTTAGCGTTAGGGTGGTTAAGGTTAGCATTAGTGGTGGTCAAGGTTAGCATTAGTGGTGGTCAAGGTTAGGATTACCGGTGGTCATGGTTAGCATTAGTGATGGTCAAGGTTAGCATTAGTGATGGTCAAGGTTAGCATTAGTGATGGTCAAGGTTAGCATTAGTGATGGTCAAAGTTAGCATTAGTGTGGTCAAGGTAAGTATTAGGTGGTGGTCAAGGTTAGCATTATTGGTGGTTGTTATTATTAGTGTATCATATAACATTAGTGGTGGTCAAGGTTAGCGTTAGGGTGGTTAAGGTTAGCATTAGTGGTGGTCAAGGTTAGCATTAGTGGTGGTCATGGTTAGCATTAGTGATGGTCATAGCATTAGTGATGGTCAAGGTTAGCATTAGTGATGGTCAAGGTTGCATTAGTGTAGCTAAAGTTAGCATTAGGGTGGTCAGGGTTAGCATTAGGGTGGTCAAGGTTAGCATTAGGGTGGTTAAGGTTAGCAATAGTGGTAGTTGGGTGCCAGCACTAGGTGGTCAAGGTTAGCGTTAGTATTGGTTGGCGTCAGCATTAGTGGCACCAAAGCTAGCATTAGTGTGGTCAAGGTTAGCATTAGTAGTGGTTAAGGTTAGCATTAGTGGTAGTTGCTAAAGCAGCATTAGGGTGGTCAAGGTTAGCATTAGGGTGGTCAAGGTTAGCATTAGTGGTAGTTAAAGTTAGCATTAGGGTGGTCAAGGTTAGCGTTAGTAGTGGTTAAGGTTAGCATTAGTGGTAGCTAAAGTTAGCATTAGGGTGGTCAAGGTTAGCATTAGGGTGGTCAAGGTTAGCATTAGTGTGGTCAAGGTTAGCATTTGTGGTAGTTAAAGTTAGTGTTAGGGTGGTCAAGGTTAGCATTAGGGTGGTCAAGGTTAGCATTAGTGGTAGTTAAAGTTAGCATTAGGGTGGTCAAGGTTAGCATTAGTAGTGGTTAAGGTTAGCATTAGTGGTGGTTAAAGTTAGTGTTAGGATGGTTAAGGTTAGCATTAGGGTGGTTAATTATAAGGTTAAATAAGCGGGGATTAATCATCATCTGATCTATTTTTTTAATCTAGCTCACCCGGACAACACAAATAACATACAAACAAGTGAAACAAGAAAGGTTTGATCTAGAAATACACAAAACATATTATTTCTCAATGTTACTGTGTGTGTGTGTGTGTGTGTGTGTGTGTGTGTGTGTTACCTCGTAGTGTCGTGTGAGTTATAGTGTAGCGTAATTTTGTACTAATGTGGTTAGCGATGTATAGTAATGCACTGACTCCTGTAGCCTGTAATAAGAGGGGAAATCATTACTGTATGACTATAAAACGAACTATCAGTGCCAGTAGTACCATTGATCAGTACAGTACATGGCGGTGAACGTTGACTACTGTACTGTACTTGTGTTTTATTAAGGCTTTATGTGATGGAGTTCAGGTTTACGTAGAACACTTGAATAATATCGTAATGCAGTAATGGCATTCTGAGTTAATAAATTTAGGGATTTTAATTTATTTACAGTTAAACCTCCATATAACAAACTGCTCTCTCCATATAATCCGTGAGATGGTGGGAGGGGGGTCGCATCTAATGGACTCTCGATATAATGGACTTTCATCACTATGTTCGTTATATGGGGAGTTTCACATCTAATAGGCCTCTCATTATGGACTTTCTTTTTCCAAATATTCCGTTAAATTGAGAGTTTTACTGTATTATCATGAGAAATTATAATTTCAAATTAAATTTTACTTTGACGTTAGTTTAGCCGCTTGACTTAATGACTGGGTAAGTGGCCACACGAGAGGGGCTTGGGTTGTCATATTTTACTTGAGGGTGAGGGCGAATTAAGTGTAGTCACAGCCTGTCTTGTCCTTGACTCGCTCGCTCCAGTAGTAGTGGTAGTGTGTCTGCGTCTTTTGTTTTAATGTATTAAGAGTGCGTCAATGGATTAGATATTTCTACACCGTTCATATTTTATTTCTATGACAGACATCAAAATTGTTCAGAATTATGAGATACTGTACAGTATATTCTCTGTATGTGTCTTAACTGCCACAGCTGCTGTTACTATTAACTGCTTACTGAGACCGTCCGACAGTGGTGCCCACGATACAGCAGTACGTGGGGGATGCGTCACCACTGGGCCTATAGTATAGTCTGCCCGATGCCACAAGTGGGGAAGATCTAAATATTACTGTACAGTATATAAGAAAATATGTATTGTTGAATAGGATTCTCTTAGTCATATGCACCTTATAGATAATTATAGTATAATAATGTTGCTTAGTGTTATATTCCACTGGTAATATATTAATTTAGAAAATATAAATGTTGTTTGTTTCTATTTTGGTGGTTTTAAGGCGTCTAAACTCTTCTCTGGTGTTTATT